CACATTTAAGCAGAGCCAAAACAAATATAAATTAATTTACATTGAATGGCGTTGTAATTAAGCGCAGCGGCTTCGCGTTTTGATATTTTAATCTCGCATGCAAATTGTGCAGGAAATCATAAATTACAAAAACAAGCGACAGATACGGCCGCAGATAGACGCATGTGCTGCCAGGTTGGAAAACCGCAAGTCAAATGACCAAAAGACCAGCTCTGAAAGTCGGCGAGTGCGATGGCTGCATAAATGATTCACTTGACAAGCTGCATTATTTCAATTGCCCATTAAGTGAACACTCTCGCAGCGGCTAAGTGCGTGGGGCTTAGGCATGTCAATGGCCGTCAGGCCTAAGGCTAAGAAGAACCCGTCTAATGTTTTGGCTTAGTTCGGCTTTGCGCTGAGCCACGAGTCACTTAGCTAAATTCAAATGTGGTCGCAGCTATGCGGATACCAAGCACACACATTGCAGCAGCGGCAGCTACCCCGTGGCGCCGTTGCCACAAATTGTTGCACGTTCCGCTGACCAGTGAAGCGGACTTCAATTTCATTGCTGTTCGGTCCCCCGCCGGGGTTGCTCCACATTCGGGCCACACACATATAACGGGACTGCGAATCAGCGAGTGGCCAATTGCCCAAAAGTGCGTTTCAATCACACACCAAATTATCCAAATACCAGACTCACATTCCAAATTGTAAAGCCCAAATGAAATCGTTAGTTCAGCACAGAAAGCTCTGCACATAAAGCTGAGCGTGATTTAGATTCGTGTTGCAGCTAACATTCCCTTCAACATTATATCAAACATACGTAGCTTGTGGCTCACATTGACTCATTTTACCCATTCAACATTTACTATACTATATTGTCTATAAACATATGAATAAACATCTGAATAGCATGAATATGCATTGTTAAAGGAAAAGCGAAAGACTTTCAGTTCAGCTTTGAAAGTTCCGACTGACTCTTGGCTACTGATATTGACAGTTGATTATATAAGAAGCAGAAGTAAAATGGATATTACCAAGACTCCACATTGCAACATTGAAATATATAATAAAGATGTGTAGTTCGGGTTCAGATTCTGTCAATGTAGATTTCACATTTTAAATATAACATCACGATCTCTTTCAATGCCGAAGAGCTCATTAATCGATTTTCGTGCCTTAAACTGATATTTATATATTCTATAATATATATATTTTATTTTATATATTTATTTGTGACATTATAAAATGAACAGCTGATGTCACTATAAAATTACTCATTCGAAACAAATTAAATATTTAACATTAAGCTTACCCATTGCATACACTTAAACTTAATATGATTTCTCCATATAAATGAATGCAATGAATTGCAGATAAAAATTCAGCTGAACAGAGGCAATTCCTGTTGGAATGTTATAAAACTGTTCATTGGTTAGGAGTTTCTTTACCAAGCAACATGTAATTCAGCTGCTTGACAACCTAGACTTGAGTCCTGTGTAAACAATTCAATAATATGCCCACTTTCAAGGAGCCAAATTGAAGGAGAGTGGGAGAATCCCCTCAAACAGTGCTCAAATTAATATATGTATGAGTGTGTCAATCAAACTTTATGCCATGTATACTCGAATATACATGGAGTTTTTACCCCTAACCAATGACCGTTAAAAGGCAGCCATATCGTTGGTCAAAGTCGTGGAACAATGCGCTTACGTCATCCGAAGAAAAAAGGATGGAAAAAGAAAAAACTGAAGGTAAATATGAAGCGAATTGCTGTTCTGTCTGACAGGCAGACAGACAGACGGACAGGCGGACAGACGGACAGACTGGCTGACTGACTCAGTGACTGACTGATGGACAGACAGCACTCAGTCTTTGGCCAAATTACGGGGTATAAATAAGTATGTATCTGCCTATACAGAGTACATAACGTGGCATACCGGTAGACGTCAACTACATAGGAACGAGTGTAAATGTGAATGTGACTGTGAGTATATATGTATATGTATAAGTGTGTGGCATATAGCGTTTAGAAAAGTGGTTGGTCGGTTGGCTGGGCGGTTGGCCGCTTCGCTGGTGGCTCAGCCAAGTGAGACGCCTTTTTTTTAATACCAAATGCCTTTTGTGTAGTTGTATATGTGTTTTGTCTGTTGTCTGAGCCGCTCGCCAACTCAGGTGTGACAAATAATTACACATACCTGTCTATATACTGTCTCTCTCTATGCGTGTTTGTGTGTGTTTGTGCGTGTCAAAAGCATAAAGCTAAAGCGCGCACAAAATGCGCAAAGAGACAGCAAAGAAAGAGCAACTAAAGCAAAAGCGGAAGCGGGCGGGCATAAAGTTCATTAAAAGCCACAATGCCGAAGGCAAACGAGTTGTTCTTGTTGTTGCTGTTGCTGACAACTCCCCTTGCAGCCATAATAAACGGCCAACCTTTGGTGACACTTTTCTGACTCATTAAGTTGAGATTCTTTTGAAAAATTTTCAATTTACCCAAGTTAAAGCTATCGAAGCATACAATAAATTTACTTATAAATAAATGGCGATTGTAGAAGAGAAAAGGTAATCCAAATTAAAGCCATAACACCTTGCTCTACATATATCACAGTGCAAAGCTCATACCAAATACAAAATAAATCTATTAAAAAATGCTAATTAAATTTTAAATTTACAAGCTACGACCCACGGCCTTAAAATTTGCAAGCTACGACAAACACAAAAATTAAATATGAAAATGTTCTTATATATATATAAATATGTATATATATAAGAATAGAAACAATTATTGTCGTAGCAAAAGCTTTACTACTTATAAAAGTTGACAGCTAAGTAAGATGTGGGTGTAAAAGATTCATGAAAAAATAAATTATTTGTATAGTACAATATAATGAAATGTAGTAAAAAGTTGAATTTATGGACCGGCGCCCTTACGCCAGCCCTTACTTAAGCTGATGCGAAACTTTATTAATATTTCTGAGAATGAGAAATATTTGTCTTGTGTCTTGCAGAAATATTTATGAATTGTACCTGAAGAATCGTTTCTGAAAATTGAGATTCATAATCAGATTCAAAAATCTAGTCTGAGTTATGTTTACTAAGTCCCCAGTCCTGTTGGCATATGTAATTAGTACCAGTGAAACAGAGCTTAGCCGGACAGTTGGCGGACAGGTTTCCAGGTGTTTCTCATCTGCGCTTGAAAGCTCTTTCCACTAAGTGACTTGCACTTAAATCTTGGGCCATGTGTATCCTATCCAAAATCTACACAATTTCCATCCATTTTCTGTGAATTAGTGTCAATATGTGTCGATCATAGCTGAAGTTGCATACGTATAGAGAGCTCTACATTATACTAGATGACATTATAAGATAATACGACATATAGCTCGGCCATTAGTAAAATTGATAGCCCCATTTAAAATTCTCTTTGCATTTTACGTTTGCCTCAATTGTGCTCATCGTAATTCCAGTTGTTTTTTTATGTTTTACTTTTTTTTTTGTTTTATTTTTTAAATGTTATTTTTTATTCGTGACATTGTTGTTGCCCTTTCATCAATGCACTTTTAACGCTGTTGTAATTCAGTTGATTGCTTTTGCTTAATGTTGCTGTTGCTGTTGCTGTTGCTGCTGTTGTTGCTGTTTTCGCTGCTGCTGCCACTGTTGAGTAAATCACAATAAAGCTATTAAGAACGGAAACGGAAGCATTCGCCGCTGCGCACGCATTGAAGCATAGCCGTCCCCATCGCCTGTCAATCTGCCCACACCCCTAACGCGCTGCCACGCCCTCTCGCTCGCCCGCGCTGCTATGCCATCATTCAGCCCGCTTCGCTGTTTATTGCATTATGGCGTCAGCTGCCGGCAACTTCTGCATTATTCATTCCGACTGACCATATTTTGTAGATTCCGATCCAACGAAACGGTCAAAGTGCATTGGACGCTCGCTTTTCTAAGTGATTCTCAAAACTATCTTTGCCAAGCAGAGCTCACAGCGAATCCCTTTCTCTCTCTCTCTCTCTCTCTCTCTGTCACAGCATTTGTTGTAAGCTTATAATTTTTTAATCTGCCATGCATAATGCATTTCTATGATTGTTTATATGCGCCGACATGGTCATTGTCTGGCATAGACATAAGTGCATCCACACAGAAGACAGTGGGGCCAGAGCTAAGCAAATAATTAAGCTTGGCTTAATATTCAAAGAAGCTACATAGAACATATTTTTATGCAATATATGTTTATAAATAATATAGTCTTGATATTTAACTAACTTATATTGGTCGTAAATAGTTTTCAAGAATAACGAAATTTTAAAAATTGTATAAAAATTGTATATTAAAAAATTATACAAGTGTACAGTATGTCTGAGTCGAAAGCATATTATTTAATTTATCAGAATTTTTTTTTTTAATTTAAATTTAAATTAATCATAAGTTTTAAGAAACAATCAAGGCACATATATGATTTATTTGAGCTTTGTTTTTGCCTGTAAAGAAATGTTGATAGTAATTAAAAAGAATTCTCTTCCAATGGCTGATATTTTAACTTATAACAATTTGAAAGCAATAAAAGTTAATTTAATTTAATTTAGCATCAAATGAAAAGTTCTAGAATATTGAAATTGGCTATATATAAAGTGGGTCTTAGCCCATTCAGAAATTATAGTTTCAGAGCGAATATGTCTTCTGCTTCTTTGCACTTCATTTACTTAGAATATTGAACGAAAAAAAAACAATTTATAATCTATCTACAGAATCCATTTTATGAGTCAATAAGAGATTATTATTATTAAAGAATATATGGAGTAATATTTCACTTCGTTTGCTTTTGTAGTAAATAAACTTTGTTCACTGGCTGTCAGTTCTTTGTGTAGGTAAATGAAATATGAAAAGGAACAATTGAGCAGCAGCACATTTGTCTGTTCACCTTCACATGGAGCTGTATGTAACCAGTGTAGAAACTCTTTTTTGTGAGTTGGAAGACGAGAAACAAAACAAAATGCTAAAGCTTATGGCTAGTAAGTGCCGCGATGACTGGCCTGACTGGTCGGAATTCGAGTTGGGCCTCTGCTCTGCAGAGGGTCACCGATCTGGGCATGTCTGGAACTCGGCTTGGACGAGTGGACCTGAAGACCTGTGGACCTGTGGACCGGGCACAGACAAGCGGGCTTAGAGGCGTTTGCCATTGTCATTGTTTTTGTGTGGCATTTACGAGCGCAAATGCAATTGCATGAATTACTTTAGACTGGTTTTCGTTACTGCTGTTGCTAGCCGCAGCCGGAGCATTCACCTTGTCCAAAAAAGCAACCCCCAAAGAAACAGCTGAAGCACCTGACTTAATGTCTGTTCGTGTGTACGTATTTATTTATTATGGCCAGCAGTTGGCCATAAGGTAAGCAGCAGCAGCTGCTAGGGCCAAAGAATAAGAGCCGCTACCTGTATGTGGATGTTATGTGTGATACGTGGATCTCGTTGTGGATGCCATTCAATTGGTCTAGATAACTTCTTTGCTGCAGCTCTTGTTTGAACAGTTCCTCGCCGGCTGCTTGGCTTCCCACAATTGTAACAACTTTGTTTTTGGCATGTAAACAAGAACGCATTTCATTGCCTCTCTCTCACTCTCTCTCTATATATACACACTTCGCTCTCGCTCGCTGATTAGGCCATGCAAATGTGAGGCAATAAAGTCAGCCAAGTTATGACTGCAAATCACGTCAGATGAGCCAAAAAACGACACGTGGCCAACTACACTGCATGCGCCTCCCTCAAACGTAGTTAGTTTTAGTCCAAAATATTTCCATAGTAATTACGCTTTGACATGAAACAACAAACAGCTCAACAACAACCACAACAACAACAACAATAACAACAACAACAACAACAATGCGACAAAAAGCAATTTGCTATTGTTCATCAAGAAGAAGTCGAGTCAAAAGAAATGCCAAATATTTGGGGTAACTTGTCAGCTGGCGATAACAAACAACCGGCTTCTAGCTTAGCTAAGACCCTTGCTCCCGGCTCCTGCCAGACGGCCTAAGCTGAGCACCTAAACGACGCTTATTATGCGACAACAACAAGAGAAATTGAACGAAATTATGAATAAATAAATATTGTAAATGGGAAATCGTGACTGGCTGTCGTTGTAAGGCAAAGACCCTAAACCAAATCACACACACAGTCACACACACACACACACCCACACACGCATGTGTTTCGAGTCAAGGATAAATGATATAGGGGACCCTGCAGAGTTGACATGCAAATTGCAGCTGCTTCCCATTCAATATTCGCTTGTTTGATCAATTTTTATGACAAATTATCAAAACGAATTGGTTTGAGTTGGACCTTTGAACTAGTTGGCTAAAAGTAGAGTCAAAAACTGTCTAACTGATTGAACTGTTGCCTCTCCGGCCCCCCTCCACTGCAGCGCTAAGTGCGCCGTTTCCTGACCAGCAAACAATCCATCGTATAGCCAACTAATGAACGTTGCTGGCCAATTGGACAGTCCCGGCCCATTCGACACTCGACTCCACTTCAGCTCCTACTTGCCACCAGACGGCTGGCCGTGCCACAAAAAGTGCAAGTTGCAACGAAAACAAAAAGTCTCTCAACCGAAAAGAGAGAGAGAGCAATACAAGAGAAAATGAAAATGAATGTGCTAATCTAGCCGACTAGTTAATACCCTGCAAAGTGAGTTATTAGTGAAATCTAATATACTAACTAAAATATATAAAAGCTGTCAGTACCTACATTATCATATGTCTAGTACTCAGAGTAAGATCACTTAATAAATAAATTATTTATGTTAATAAAAACTCAAAGCAAATCTAATTTTCAGCAAATTAGTTTATTTTACTTATATTTTGTTCTGTTTTCGAAGCAGCAAAATTGTTCAAATATATTTACATTGTTTTTCGTTGTTGATCAATAAACAAAATTTTAAAAATCTTTACAATATTTAAATGTTTATACATATATAAAAAGTTATATATATATATATATATTTCCTATATATTCATTCTCTGCTAAAACTAAATAGTCTAGAGCATCCAGCTTTATTGGCATTACAGGGTATGCACAAAAAAAGATTTTACACTCTGCTACACGCTCCATATATGCAAGTGGATATGCATATATATTCGTGATCAATTGGAGTGTTAGAGAGAGCAGAGGCGATAGTCGACGAACACTCGAACTAACCAACATTTGAGCCAAGTGAATGAAGTTTTAAGTGTTGTTGCTGCTGCTGCTGCAGCTGGGAGTGAAGGCGACTAGAGGCAATTGGCGTGAGTCTGTCTGAACGACACTTCGTGTCTGTAGGTGGGTTTCAGTTGCTGAATCCAGTTCGTTGGAATTCCTAGTCGCAGAGTTGTTGTGTGGTCTGGTCTGGTTTGAGGTTAGGTTTAGTTAGTGTTGCATAATCTAGCAACTGTGTCAAGTTGCGTCGTTTTCCAAACACGGCAAATGATTTGTGAGCATTTCTCTGCGACAACTTTTACTTCTGAGTGGGATGAGCAGCTGCTCCGCCTGCAAAACTGGGAGCCAAGATTGAGGCGCACGTGATTTATTGTCAGTGTTCGCATTGCTTCCAGTTTTTCTAAGGTATTGCCTTTGAGGAGGGTACCAGCACTCGCTTTCATGTTTCAAGTACCCTACAAACTTGTCCAATTGTACCCGTTTATGCTGTAGCAAAGTGTCCGGCTCTCTTAGTTAGACGCAATCCATAAGGGAGTGTTGCTGCTGCTCTCTTAACATCCACAATGTATGCGCTCTTGCGCTGCGAACTGCGAAACCAAAACAAATGTGATGAAAAGGCGACCAACGACTACGACGATGGCTGGATCCCGGCGCCGAATGTGTGTTATATGAACGAAGCATTTACCGCTACGCTTCGCTACATGCACGAAAGAGCGAACGAATACGAGAGCGCAACGATTGCCAAGCCAACGCAGCCAACCAAACCAACCAGTCATTTGTTTGTTACGAGCATAACAGAGCTGCAACAGCGCTGTTAACAGGCTAACAGCATGTATGAATATCAACGCGCGCGCTATAACAACGAACGAACGTACGAACGAACTAGACCACAGCAGCAGCAACAACAACAACAATTGAGAGAGCCGATGTAGTCGTAGCCGAGGCGCAGTTAAGTTCAGACCGCGACAGTTTTTGGTTCGGGCCATTCAGTCTAACGTCAGAAACGCAGTTAGCTGCCTCGTCGTGCGCAAGCGAAATAAAATAAATAAAAACAATCTAAAGGCACAGCTAATACAACTATCACTAACAACAACAACAACAAAAGCTAAAACAGCAACAACCACCGTCGTCAGTTAAAACTTGAGGCATTATAAATCAAAGTATATATACACACACTCACACTCCCACACACACACGCACACACAAAATTAAAGTTGTGCCTATCGCATTTCAAAAGCTAAACAATAACAATTTCACATAAATCATAACAATAATAATACAACAACAATTTCAAGTAAAATAGTTCGCAAAGCGGAAACCGTTTCCAATTAGTTCGTGTAATAAGTGCATAAGTTATTTTTGCTGGATTTGTATCTCAACATTTTAATTGCAGGCGAACGAACAAAGCAAATTTAATTGTTTATAAAAAAAGAACAACAACAATTAAGGTGTGCATTTACCAACAACAACAACAACGTATCAAATTACCGATCGCTGGCATGTGAACAAAAGTGCTTTCGGTTCTAGCTACCTTGCAGTATCTATCAGATACAAATGAGTCACAAGGCAAAAGTGGGCTTAATAAACAAAAAATGGGCAAAATTATAAAAAAAGAAAAGCAAAAATACATAAAAAACACACACAAAAACCGAATCTCAAGACCTAGGAATTGGGTTAAATGGAAAGCGGTCTTCAACAATATAAGCCCGTTTAATGGGTCACAAATTAATTGCAAAATGTGCAAGAAATAAAAATAAAATACAAATTCACAAAATAAATATTTATTTATGCAAACACCCATAAACGAAAGGGCAGAAAAGAAAGAGCACATATATGGAATATTTATAAACCGTATAAGGTGTTGCGAAATAGTCGAAACGCTTCTAGTTGAAAATCCCTTCGAAATGCTGAATTCGCCTCAGTCTCAACTTGAAATTTGCGTTTTAGTAGCTTTGAAACTCTCACTTATCTTTTACTTTCGATTGGAATCGAAAATTATATTCAAAATTTACTTACGTGTGTTTTCAGAATTTAATATAACCATAAATGCTTGGAATGCCACAAGCAAATTTCGAAAACGAGAAATATTTCGTAAAACTATGAAAAACTATATATTTATTAATGAGCAATTATTTGAGAGATTTATGAGACTTATTTCATAGAGGAATGCAAATAAAAAAGTTTACTACAATATGAATTTCGCGTCAACTTTTAACACTCGACTTTTGCATATCTCAAATATTCAAATATTTTTTTATAAAATATTAATTAATTTCCATATTTCTAAAATCTAAAAAACTTAATTTATTTTAAAGCATTTTATTCCGCATTTAGTAATAACTCTAATAACTAATCGTATAAAATATTTTCAAAATTATTTGAATTGGAAATTTCTATAAAAGTATTCGAACTTCAGTTTGAATTTATTTGTTCAGTTTTCATATAATTTTCCAAAAGTTAAGACGCTCCATTACGACTCAACTCGATTGAATTTATAAAAATACAAAATAACGAGGCAGCAATCTGTAAATTCCAGCACGTAGCTGCAGTTCGTTGCAGTTCTGCAGTTCTGCAGTTCTGCACTGCGGCGGCACCACCACCGGCGACCACCGAACCACCAAACGAACCGCCAATCTGTTAAGTTATGCCACAAATCTTACACGTGAACCGCAAACATTTCGCCATTAAGCCGCTGCAGCTGCAGCTGCAGCCTGTCCACAAATTGAAATTTCAGCCCAGTTAAGTTTTGGGGCTAAAATAGCGTAGTAGTAGCACAAGAAGAAGAAGAAGAAGCAGCAGTTGCAGTTGCTAAAGTATCGCGTGAATAAGTGAAAAAGTCTCGTGTTATTTCCACACAGCAAGTAAATAAAATGCGAATAGTTTTCCCATTTTTTCTTTTTTATTCGCCTGCGCTGCAAACATTTAATTGCGAGCCAAAT